GCCGTGTGGTGGGGAGCTGCTCAGTAGAAGACGTTCGGTGAGTAGCGTGTTGAAGGAGGTAGATGTGCAGGAGCTTCGTTAGAGAAGATGTTGCCTGTTGCTGGCCTCCTGGTTGAATAAATGTTAACAGCTAGGAGCTTGCTGGAGGAGGTGTTGCTTGTTCAGGAAGATGGGCCAGAATGAGAGTTGGTTGGTGAGGAAGCTCAGAGAAGGACAGCTGGTGGGTCACCATGCTCGCTGGCGGGAGCGAGGACCGCCAGGCTATACTGCCAGATTCTGGGGTCACTAAGTCTAAGGGGATAACATAACTCTAATCTTAATTCCTAAGGGTCGCTGCCACCAGACCCCCTCTGGACAGCATGTAGCTCGTTAGGTAGCGGGCAGAGTGGACTAGGCATTGGGTTAGGTTTTCCATTGACCAGATCGATAAGGGTAAAGAAGGGTGAAACCATAACATGTCTTACTTGATTTATTCCTTATCAAACACACTGGTAAAAAACATATACATGAATTGGCCTTCCTCAGAAGAACAACGGAAATGTGGTTACCCAGATGGGCCCCAGACTCTTACATTGATGGCGTGTTATCCACCTATTTATTGCATACCAATCTGTGACCACCGTACCTCAGTCGTTCCTTCTTACAATATCCCTTAACACATCAGACTGCTCCACCTGTATGGGATCTAGTACCGTCGGTTATCATACATAGTAGCACCATCTCAACACACCTGTTACACTCCATACCTGCAAGTATGTGACTCCTTGTGACTTTTAGGTATACACAACAGGCACCTCGTTCGCACACCGCCCTCGGTGGGTAAAGACGAGGGCTTCACCTAGAGACATACCAGCACTATTTCTACGCCTGGTATTATAGGTCGCTCCAAGTGACGACCGCAGAGTTTCTCACGGTCTCCTTAGTTGTGACTATTCATTTGGAGTGGTGCGCTGGAAATCCACAGGTTCACAGTGGATTGGCATAGCGGGGAGTAGTCACCACCTGTTGTGACGCTCAAAGGGATAATGGCGGCCGGGCGGCAAGGTACTCCGACCACATGGCACCTGAGGTGACGGTAGAACGAGGAAGACTGAGAAATAATGCCTGACGGGCGGTTATCCCACCCCTTAACCCATTCCTATCACACTTATATATCCGGCAAAGCTTTAAACTGTAGTAACTTCTATTTATCAACCTTAATTATAGGGCGGGATATAGCCCGCTAGGACACTGACCTGAGGTGACGGTAGAACGAGGAAGACTGAGGGCAGTGCCCCGCCGCTCCTCATCACATAGCCTACAGTTTCCAATCCTCAATTTACACTTTTGTTTCTTATGGTTCTCACCTGAACACTTTTCGGTATATTGTCACTCATGTCTTATAAACACATATTTTAATCCTAAATTACACACTAAGGTAAGGTCTTGGTTTGCTAGTGCTTGAGTAAATTCATGGGATTATAATATCAATGTGGCATCTGAGGGGGGTACATGACACGCCTTGAAACAAAGGCTGAATGTTCATGGCGGGGGTGTATCAACTTCACTTAAAACTGTAATGAGGGATCCTCCTCTCACACATTGCACAATTTGAACACAGACATAAGATTCTCTGATCACTGTACCTGTCGTGGGTATATGTCACGTGAGGCTACGAGGTGTATTAAATTCATACCGACGCATACACGATATTTCCTTTCAAGTATAGTTTCTGGATCACTGTCAACACCTCACATAGTTCTGATACATTTATCCTTTTTCCAGATCATTGTTCTCATGTATTTTCATATGATATCTGTTGGAGTTATGTTCGCTACACGCTCACAGACGTAAATAGTAAGACCTTCAAACCCTGGTCCACACTTAGTCTTACAGTACACTAGTCCGGCTCAACTGGACTTTAACATTCATCTTATGCATACCCTGAGTGATCCTTAATGCTATGAATACATACACTTAATATGATATAACTGTACCTGGGTACAATACAACACATGGTCTAGGAACATTGAGTAGGTGAGTTGTCCTTTATCAATGTTTCCCGTTTTCTGAGGTTCTACAAGCGCGGTGCATTTGAATGTTATATAGCGTAATATGAATTAAATGGGATTTTTAGGGATGACAATGATGTGCGCAGTACACAGGAACGCCCTTGGACTGGGTTAATGAGACAAAATACCTGGGTGTGTATGTAACTCGCACACATTGTCAGATCCCTGAAGTCCACTATCTTCGAGACATATGCTTTCGGCGTCTCGCTCCCCTCTCTACCATGTGCAGGGGTTCCCTTGGTGCCACCATCCCTGTACTTCTCACCATGTACAAGTCCTTTGTCCGTTCCTGTGTCGACTACGCCGCCCCTGCCCTCGTCAGCATTAGTTGGACTGCTGTCAACCGTCTCGAAGTTATCCAGAGGAAAGCTGCTCGTATCATCCTTGGGGCTCCTCAGTGGACACGCTCTACTTCTCTATATACCGAACTTGGTCTTTCCCCCTTACAGGATTGTGTCCAGGAGTTTTACCTAAAACCTGCCATTTCCATTCTACGGGATCCTCGGGGCAACTATGACCAAGCCAACTTGACTCCTGCTGTCCGAGGCCGACCTCCATCTACAAGACAGTGGCGAGGGTCACTCATCCGAGCCCTTCAGGAACACGACCTCCTGCCTGATATTGTTGTCACCCCTGCTGTTGGTTTGTCTCCTTCTCCCTGGCTGGATTTTCAACCTGAAGTGATTGCCCTCAGTGGACCGCTCCCGAAATCCCAGGTGAACCCTGTTATTCTCTACAAATACCACCTCTCCAGGATAGCCCACTGATCCCCAGGTAGGGTCGTCCTCCACACTGATGGTTCTGTTGACCCCGCTACAGGTCGGGCCAAGGCTGGTGTCTACATCTCCCGTCCTGATGCCCCTGAGCCTATCAAACTGTCTCTCAGAGTTTCTGACGGGCCATCCTCCACTCAGGCTGAACTAATAGCCCTCCTTGCTGCCCTTCTTGCTGAGGAAGAAGCAGATGGTTTCTGCCCCTTGCTTGTCTGCTGCGATTCCAGGTCTGCTCTCGACGAGATCGCATTTGGATCAGGGGAAAATAAGGACCTCATCCTCCTAATACGAGGGTTAACATCCACACTTCAGGATGCAGGCCGTCCTGTGACATTCCTATGGATACCCAGTCATGTCGGTATCTTGGGGAATGAGGCAGCAGATGGCCTTGCCAAGATTGGCTGCAACAAGGCCACACCTGACTACGTTGTTCCTCGAACACTTTTACAGATTAGGACCCAAATTCGACACAAACAGAGAGAAGCTCGGGAAGCAGCCATCCCCCTGGACTCCCCGCCCACCTGGTACGATGTCCTCCATAAACTTCCTGACCTCTCGTACGTCTACGGGAAAGGGTCGCGGAAAGGGGACGTGATTGCTGCCCGTATCATCATTGGGTATGACTTTGCTTGGGAGATTGGTATCCCCGCATCCCCTGAGCAACGCTCTTGTGCATTATGCAGAAGACCCGACAGCCGCACCCTTACCCACTACCTCCTAAGATGTCCCCACACACAACGCTTCCGTGACGCCTGCTGGACCACCCCTCCACGGCCTCCTGACGGAGACACGATGATCCTCCCCATACTGGCCAGATATTATGTAAATAACATTGATTATGTGTTTAAGGAATATCCTTCCTTCCTTAGGCTTTAGTAAGCCCCTTTATAATATTTATTCTGTATATACTTGTCACACTGCCAGATGCTTCTGGTGTTATTGTACAGGGATACCTAGTGACAGCACTAGGATCCCACTTCCTCTGTCAAGGAATAAACAATTGAAATTGAAATTGAATTGAAGGGCAGGTCACGGCGGGGTGAGGTCTTATATAGCGGGGGTAGGCGTGGCTTGATAGTTGACCTCCGCTGTGTTAGGCGGCGCTGGTTGCCGACGTTAGTAAACCATGAGGCGTAAGCTGGGGAATTTGAAGAGGGGTCGGCTAGTCAGCGACAAACGGCAGTAGTAGTTGAAGATTAGGTATCCACTACAAGGTGACCGACAGAGGTTGCTGCTATTCCTTGTGGTTATCAGAATATATATATATATATATATATATATATATATATATATATATATATATATATATATATATATATATATATATATGAGAGGTTGGAGTCATAGACCATGTTTTCTATAGACTTTATTATAACAGCGTCAGCTGGGCACTGGCCATCAGGCGCTGCCAAGGACAAGCCCCCCCACTCAACATGGGAAAACATATCGTACGATGGTACACTCTTACAATATATATATATATATATATATATATATATATATATATATATATATATATATATATATATATATATATATATATATATATATATTATATAAAGGAAAGAAGAAAACACAAAGTTCCCAGCGCTAGATCGCGCACCTGTGATTTACTTGTATATTATATATATATATATATATATATATATATATATATATATATATATATATATATATATATATATATATATATATATATATATATAAATATATATATATATATATACCTGTATATATATTTATTTGTATATAACTTATTTTATCTGAGCAACAGTATATAATAATATTTAAAAACAAAAAAAGACTCACAGAAATAAAAAAACTTCAGTAAATATTTTTTTTAGTTGTTAATTAATGTTAAAGTATAAATTCATAATGTTGAAAATATGTCACGAATAATAATTCCTAATTTGTTGTTTTTATATTTAAATTACTTAAATGCAAACATAGCTAGCCAAACAAGAACTAATCTAATTTTATAATTAATTTTAAGTAATGTTAGTGTTGGTTACTTAGCGATACATGAAATATGAATGATTAAGTGACTACGTTCGTATTACCTTTCTAACATTATTTAGACTGTGTGTGTGTGTGTGTGTGTGCGGCGTTGTTCACTTGTCACTTCATCCGGGTGTGTGTGTGTGTGTGTCAGTCCACTCCAGCTCATGTCATAGTATAGGTCACGATGCTCGTCAAGGAATTGTAAGTTAAGTCGCTATAACTGACAATTTGACATTGAATATTTTATTGTAATTATAATTATATTAGACGGCGTAACTACAACCTTTATTATAAGAACCAAGGGTTATTGATTGTGGTTGTTTATGTGGTAACCCAGAGTAACCACATTGTTTCTTCCTGGCGGTATTATTTATATAATATCCTTCAAATTTCTCCTCGTAAATATTAATTAATGGAGTTTAATGTTAATGAATAGTTTGAATTTTGAAGAAGGATTTTAAAGGGAGTACTGCAGTGGTGGACGGTCATATCTACTGACAGCTGTCATGAGTAGGTCAAGGCTGACACTCGTATTTGACCTACTTATTTTCAAGCTTATTTAACATCGGTGGTCAAAGTGGCGGCTCTTCTTATTTTCTTTTTGAAAACCAGGATAAGATTTATTTAGTGGTTACATCTTATGGTGTGTGGGGTAAAGTACAACACTGGGCCACTAAGCTGGTGGTTGGGGGGATTTTTGTTTATAGGTCATTTGTTACTTGGTTTGGTAGTGTTGTAATTAATTATTGTGTTCTTGATAACACTTGAAACAAAATAAAGTTCATCACAAAACCTGGGTTGTGTTGAAGACAGGGAACATAAGAATGGAGGAAACTGCAACAGGCCTATTGGCCCATACTGGAGCAGTCCCATTTACACCCAACCCCTGGCAGTCCCATTTACACCCAACCCCTGGCAGTCCCACACCCAACTGGCAGTCCCATTTACACCCACCCCCTGGCAGTCCTATTTACACCCAATTCTTGGCAGTCCCATTTACACCCACCCCCTGGCAGTCCCATTTACACCCAACCCCTGGCAGTCCCATTTACACCCAACCCCTGGCAGTCCTATTTACACCCAATTCTTGGCAGTCCCATTTACACCCACCCCCTGGCAGTCCCATTTACACCCAACCCCTGGCAGTCCCATTTACACCCAACCCCTGGCAGTCCCATTTACATCCAACCCCTGGCAGTCCCATTTACACCCAACCTCTGGCAGTCCCATTTACACCCAACCCCTGGCAGTCCCATTTACACCCAACATTCAGGACTGAATATTGTCATGAAACTTATTAAGATTATTGATTTTACTATACAATATTCACTCTTAATCCAGTGGTAGAGACCTGGAATTTTTTTGTTCTGCAGTCAGTAATAATCACACAAAACCCTAAGTTTGGCAGTGTTTAGTGGTCCATCCCTTCGGAAATTAAAAAAAATTCTGACATAGTATAGTACAAAGTTTGTTTTGATTTGCTGGAACGGATACACTATTCGTCATCAAAAAACCCACTTTGTCACCAATATCAAATCTGTTTCGTCACCACTAACAGACCGTTAGTCGCTGGTATTAGAGTGATAAATTGTAAGTTATTATTTTACACGAATAGAAATTACACGTATACAGACGGCTCGAGAATTATTGTGTTATTATTATATATGAATATTAATTAATTAATCAAGAAAACAATTAAAACATTGGTAAATAAACAAAATACAGAACAAATGAAGGTGGTTTCGTCTTCTTCACCACCTTGGTTGATTTGCAATTACAACTAGTTGCTGAGCACGAGCTAAAATCGTGCACAAGAAAAGCAAATCATGACAAACAAGTCCATCTCTGGAAGCTGTGGGATGAATATGTAGAAAAATATATCACCACTTCTAATTTCTTAAAAAAAAAGTCGTGTCGTCTTCCAAGCTTGCATGAGTAATAACAATGTTTTTAATTTTTATTTTTATTTATTTATTTTTAGTCTTTCACATATTGTTTAAGTGAGATGATTGCAGGCATGTTAACAATATTTTTATTTTTGTTTCATTTTAGTCTTTAATAAATTGTTTAAGTGAGATGCTTGCATAAGTAATAAACAATTATTTTTATTTTCATCTTTAATAAATTGTCTTAATGAGATGCATGATCCGATGCATTGTTATACCGAGGCATAATTTCGTAATACAACTTTGTAAACTAGGTGTTTTGATTATTTTATATCCCAAGCAACCGATATTTTGGCAAATTTAGTGAAATTTTCGTGTATATATTGAAGGTATTAATTATGTAATAATTTTCTGGAATATATTGCCCTTGAAATGGTGATGGGAATAAACGCGGTGACGAAACAGGTAAAACCAGTGGTGACGAAATGGGCACACCCCACTGGAAGATGTAGAGGTAGTGGCTAACATGTTGTAGCTCAGGTCAGCCAGACTGGTGTGGTTCATTTGATCACTTGAAGAATCTCCACCCACGCTTATTTCACCTAAAAATTAACCACTAAAACTGTTTTGGGGGATCAGGTTACGTTGGCTTAGGGTGGTTAATATTTAGGTGAATTAAGCGTGGGTGAAGATTCTTCAGGTGATTTATTTCATGTCCTAAATGAAGGAAGAGAACCTTTAATGGATTTAAAGTCACATGCTAGCACAGACCTTGTTTCTTGTAGGAGAGGGACCAGGTTAACCAACTACCTAAAAAAATATCTTCACAAGACACCTTGGTTGATATGTGATTAAACCTGTTTTGGCAGTTTAAGAAGTTGGGGGGGGGGGGATACCACACATGAACTTATGCATGAAAGTTTGTGCTAATATATATTAACTCATATTGATGCAGATTCATATATGAAAAACGGTTATTTTTCTCAGCCCCATTTTGCCATCTTCATTGTCTCGAGTTATCAGCTAGCACCACTCACCAGCAGCATTTCCTTCCCATGCTCTCCTTCCACATCTGCTGCGTCCTGGATGACCAACTCCTTTACTTTTATAGCCTCCTTTATCCCATTCTTCTATCTCCTTGGTCTTCTCTTTTCCCTCTTACTATCCACATCTGAACTGTACTGTACTTACTATTTTGTAATGATCATTCAATTCCAATACTGTGTGACTCATTTCAATCCCCCTAAGTTCTTCAGTATGCACTGTACTACATTGATGTTAACAAGAGTAAGGATTATTTTTGTATGCATATTGTATGTGGATAAAAATACTGTAATTGTAGCTATTGCAATGCTTTACCAGACAGTTAGTTATCATAAATTTCAGGTTTTGCTAATTCTGCATCTAGTTCAGGGTTTAGTAGGCTTGTTCCATGCTTTGATACCATAGCTATTGTAGTATTCAGAATCCAGAAAATCACTGGCCTTTCCCCACACCTCCATAATTTAACATGTTAGCTACTAATGGTATTCAAAATTACCAGGTAATCTTGAAAAGTGAGCATTGAAAATCTAGATGCAGGCATTTTACATAGCACCAGACAAGATTAAGGCACTTCCTGTATACCATAATTTTTTCTCCTAATTGCTGCTAAGTGAACACTGTTATTCTAGATGTTATTTTCATACTTCAGCTTATTCATCCAATAAGGTGCATTCTTATGTCTTCAGTTACAAAGAATGTTCAATGTTTGAAATTTTATAGGTGTGGACCTTACATGTATTTGTTTTTGTAAAGTTAATCATGTTATGTAACTTTCTGAACTTCATAATGTTTACTGTATTTTCAATTTTATATTTTGTATTTCAGTCGAGTCATCCTACCACTCACAGTTGACGAGGTGTGTACAATAGCTTATGTATCTCTTTTTGGTATTCTTTCTGGCATTAGCTCTTTTTGCATGGTGGCTCTCTTATAACATGCAACTGATGGGGGTTCTAGGCCTCTTGACACCCCATTACTGTATATAAGTGTTTTAATTCAATTTTGTTAAGCTAATCACCAGAGCCCAGATGTTCAACCAAAATGCTATACATTAAGTGCCAACTTTTGTAATAAAATTGCTTGTTTTTTTAATATGCCATTTTTTCTTATTTTCATTGATTTGTTATCATTCTGCTCTGAAAAAAATTTACTGGCCTTTCAAGAAAAGAAAATATCCTGACCGTTTCCACGAAGCAGATTACTTAATGTTCAAACTGAATATTTCATTCTGCATTATTCTGATGGGTAATGGACGCATGTGTATGATAGGTACAGCGAGTGTGAATATATCCTCCACTGCCTGGGATGTACGGTTTGAGTCACTCAGTTCTCTTTCCAACACAGTTGAACACATTTCACTTCAAAACTTAGCAATTTGATTAAAGAGTTTGGTAGCAGTGTGTTCTCTACAAATGGAGCAGTATTATTTTGCAAAATGTGCAAAAATCGGTGAACTACATGAAGTTAAAGTACAGGGACTTTGTTTCTCAAAATTAAGAGACTCTTAACCATAAAGCTGATGCTGCTTGGAAAACTCAACAACAGAGCATACATGCCTTCTTACTTCATATACTGTACAGTACTACAGCTTCTGGTCAGCAATTTCAGTTTTCATTGGACCTGTGCAAGGTATATTTGTTAATGTCAACATTCCTCTAAAAATGTAAAGTGTCTGGCAACTCAAGGCCATTTGTTTACTATAGTACTTAGTAAAAATTATGAATGAATGTACAGTGGTCCATCGGTTAACGAACAGTTCGATTAATGAAATTTCGGTTAACGAATTACTTCCCACAAGGATCTTCAATTCGGTTAACGAACAAAACTTAGGTTAATGAACTCTTTACAAAAAACACGTTTTGTTCTGAGCATCAGCTGATGGGCTAGTCTGCCAATTCAGTAATCTGTTCTGTTTACATTCGTTTCAGTTATGCTCTTTGATATTTTTTTCATTTTTTATATTAAAATTATTAGTCATTTTAAAATTTAGTTAACATATTGATAATATATGCAGTACAGGGAACTAGTTTTTTGTGCGCCCATCAGCCGCTTGACTCAGCCACCAGGCGTTAGTCTGGCTTTGTTAACAGTGGAGTGAACATCGATTTTGTTGGTGTCTTGAATATTTTTGCATTTTTACATTAAAATTATTGGCCATTCTGAAATTTAGATAACTTATTGATAATATATAGTGCACTGTTGATTTAAATAAATTAATCTTGAATTACACCTAGTGAACTTAAAAATTTATTAGTGAAATTACTGCATCAAGCATGGGTCCCCTGAAAGGTGATTTCTCCTCCATCCCCACTTCCTTCTCTTCTCCCTTCTCTTCTCCCTTCTCCTCCACTCCCACTTCTAATTCCAATCATCATCATCATCATCAACCAGGAACCTTCTACATACACACCTCAAAGTAAATGTACTTTCCTGCTTTTTTTTTTTTTTTTTTTACATTGTACTGTATGTACTTTTCTGTGAGCTGGAACCAATTACCCAATATCTCATTGAAACAATGGATTCGGTTAACGAAATTTTCAGTTAACGAACGACTCTGTGGAACGAATTGTGTTCGTTAATCGAGGGACCACTGTAAAAGGTTATCGGTGATTGGTTACTTAGTTCCCTGTTGCTTAATTAATGGTTGGGCTGTGTTGTTTCGTATTATATTATATTACATACTATATTAAACAAACGGCCTTGAGTTGCCAGCTGTCTCCAGCAGTGTTCGAAGAATCTCTAACGAGACTGTACCAAGTGAGGCTATATTATGGAAAAAATATGTGGACCCCAGTATTTTTTATTTTTTACCACATTTTCACTCTTGAGAAGAAACAGTTTCAGCTGTGGAAATTAATGAAAAAATTTCTATTTTTACCCCCAAAATATATTGGTTACCTATCATTTCTTTTACTAATACAGTAGTGTTGTAATATTATGCATAATTTTTTGTACAGGTACTGTATAATTACGGTATTGTTGTAGTAAAATAATTATAACCTTTTTTACTTTCCTGCCTGTTTCAGCTGTATGTGTTGCCTATTTACCTACCCTTTTAAAAATATTAAGTGCCTAAACTTTTGGGTTCTAGTCATCACATTGGCAGGATAAAGTGTTGTTGATGCATCAATTCCAAAGGATCAAGTATTTACTGCTTGTCTCACTGATAATGTTACGTTTATTACTTGCTCCTGGCAAATGCAGTTACCTATTTTCAGTACACTTGTAATATGATAATAAATTATTTATTGTACGATATCTAGCCAAACCTCTCTCTTATGACAGTGTGTAGAATTTCCTCACCTTGGCAGGAATACAGCCAATTGGCATCTCAGTTTTTGTTATTACATAATAATATAATATATAAAATAATATATTACAGTACATACTACTGGATACTCTTGCCCTAGACATGTATGATTGTTCTTAATACAATACTTAGTACAGTAGATTAATACACTTAAAAAAAGAAATTGCCATTAATGTGTCCTTTATTATTTGTATTACTGTATTTTTTTAGTATTACTATTACAATACATACAGTGTTGTTATTACTGTACAGTGCTGTATTGCCAGTGAACATATTCTAATGATACCGGTACATAATTGATAATGTCTTAGCCATGCTTTGTCACTTTTTACCTTATTCTAGAATCCCTCTCTAATATTTCCTCCCATTCATTAAATTTTCAATCCCATTAATTTATGCCACACAGAAGTGGGTGAAGAGTAAAGATGATAATTACAATTTTATTTACAGTACCAAGTGGCACAGCTGTACAGTGTTGCAGAAGCAAGTAAAAATGAAACTGGAGGAGGGGAAGGTATTGAGGTCCTTAAAAATGAACCATTTGACAACCACCCACTACTGGGGGAAAAGTACTGCAAAGGGCAGTATACCTATAAGATCTACCACCTGAAAAGGTAATGAGACAGTTCATTTAGTAATTATTGATAATTCTATTCGTGAATAAATGAATACAGTATGTGAATAAGTGTTTGTGTTACTCTTGTTTCCATCCACCCAACATTGTACTATTATCTAGCACGGTTGAGATCACAGGATTTGGAGGAATAGTACTTGATGCTGAGGTACTGTATGTTAGGAAGGCTACCAAAATAATGAAAATAAACATATGTATATACAGGTATCCCCCAGTTTACAATGAGGTTAGGTTCTTGAAAATCCCATCGCAAATTCAAATACTATTGTAAATCGAGTTCATTATAGCATGTATCACCGAAAAAACATTTTACACTAATAAAATTAATAGAAAACAGTTATATAAACAACACTCAACACATCATTGAGAACAAGTCTGACCACTTCACAATGTCAAGCTTCAGCTCCAGAGACACTGTTTTCCAGAGTGCCTTGGCCTTCCCAGATGCAGAAGTCTTCAGCAACAGCTTGACAGACATTTTCAAAGTTACACTGCATTTTTCACAGTCACAAAAACAGAGTGAGAATGTATAATAATAATAAATTAAATACAAAATAATGTGTTGCCATTTGGCAATCATTTTACAGGACCGAACAGCAGAGAGATTTCCCATGCTTCTCCCCCCTTTCCCTGCTTTGAGGGCTAACTAGTGCACATAAGAAATGTTTATTCCCCTTGTTTTTGACCTTATGATAATTATTTTTTTATTTTTGTGCATTCTGTATTAACGATTGTGTATGCATGTAACACTAAAAAAAAAAGTATACAGTACGCCCGGATAATTTGCGGTTTTTTATTTTGCTGTCCTCTAATATTTACGGATGACACCCTGGATATACCCAAGTATGTCTGTGGGTAGTTTTAAAGTTGCCGGCATTTTCGCGGCTGGGACCGGGAGCCATTCGTTCTGGAGGCAGTAATTTCCTTTACCTGTATTTTACGTGTGTGTGTGTGTGTGTGTATATGTACACACACACACACACACACACACACACACACACAAATATATAATAGTGGGAAAAATTCTCTTGCAAATAATCAGAAAGAAATTTATTAGAAATGTTGAGTCTACCCTCAAGTCCACTCCGTGCTTTATTAATAACAAAGTACGGAGTGGACTTGAGGGTAGACTCAATATTTTTAAGAAAATTTTTTCTGATTATTTGTGAGAGAATTTTCCCATTATTATTAATTTGTATGTGTTTTTTGTGTCTGTGTCTGTCTACACATATATACAATACAGGTAAAAAATTATTGTTCTAGGGGCAAATACGTACATAAAGGGAATGTACATTTCTTTGTACACAAGTAAAAATGAGAAGCGGTCTTAAAACATCAGCATCGTTAAAGCGAAATATCATAGATCGGGGATACCTGTCTAGGTATATTTTTGTGCAATAGTTAGTGTGGAAAATGGCTGTAAATTGGTGATGATGAGTGTTGGATGTTGCAGTTTTGAGAAAAATTAAGCAAATATGAGTTAAAGTCGAGTTAATTTAATTTTTAACAATTTGGCGCATGGAATGATCCTTCATATAATTTTATATGAATAGTCCAATATTGCTCAAAAGAGTATGATGTGCTTTATGTAGCTAATGTTAACATCAGTCTTATCCATGATTGTTATCTTCAGCAAAGTACCGTCCTTCATCCGTCTCTTAGCACCAGAGGGCTCACTTGAGATTCATGAAGAAGCTTGGAATGCTTACCCTTACTGTAGAACCATCATCTCGGTATGTTCAGTCTATTTTGCAGTTTTCTGTATACAGGTACATTGCACATTTGTTATAGATCTAGAATTCAACTCCATAAGCACAAAATCAGACTAATGACCAAGCAGAGTTAGATAATATTACTGCCATATCCATTGTTGCTGATGAGTGCTGCAAGTTGTCACAGGATTCAGACACAAACACGTAGTTTGACTTCTTTTTTATTTTTATTTTTTTTAATTGTGTGTTAGTTGTCAGGGGTCACACACATTTTAATATTTTGTATTTGAAATGAGGAGCTGGCTCAATGGCCATGGAAAATGGTCAGCTATATACAGGAGAAGCAAACTGACCCTGGACTCGTTAGCTATTGTTTTCATTTGTAGGTGATAACATATTTTCTTGTACAGGGACATACAGTATTCTTGTAGGGTTAGCCAAAATACATGTGAAATTTAGCTTTAAAAAGCTATATTGATATTCTGAAGTTTAAGCCCACTCTGACTCATTTATTAATCTTCTGATAAATCCACTAATAGACTTAAACATTTTATGCAACAGAAACTACATTTTCCAGATATAGATCAAGAAACATTAAGTTTTAGCACAATTATTCCCTATCTTATCTGTATGATTTTATTTTACATATTGTATGAATTAGTCTTCTTGTCTAATAAGTTGCCTTTCAGAACCCAGGCTACATGAAGGAGGGATTTTATATAACAATAGAGACACTACATGCACCTGATGATGGGGAGTTGGAGAATGTGAGTGGCACAGCGCTTGAGTCAAGCATGATTTGGCTCCTCTTGTTGCTTGTGACCACAATAATACAGTATTAGCAGGCTTGGAATTTCATAGCAACCACAGTGTGTCATTGTCTTCTGCTTGGCTGTTATGTGATTTCCTGTTTAGGCTGTTGTATCCTATTAATGAATTTCCAGGCCTGCAGTAGTGCAGATACACTTAATGTTGCCCTCTTTCCAGGAAAGGAATATATTCTGTTAACCAATTTGGCTGAATAAATTTTAGTATTCAATGATGTAATTTTGATGTCATATTGGTTCATCATTTTTTAGCATGCATCCTGTAATCGGGTGGCTCCAATGACAGCACTTACCTAACTGCATGCATTGGTTATTAAATCTTCATCTTATTATGGCAGCTTGAATTGATTTATTAAGCTCTGTAAGATAAAAATTCACCAACCTTCATGGTCATAACCATTTTCCTTAAATAAGGGATATCAGAAGCAAGAGTTACCCTCTAGAGTCTAGAGGCAGGTGTTTTAGAATTGTGTTGGTCTAACCAGCACACACACACACACACACACACACACACACACATACATACATACAGCCAGGCCTGCTGTCTTATTCCAGGTCAATCCAGTTCCTGGTTGACTGCTGTAGAGCTTAGACATGCAATTGGCCCTCTCTTAGCTATTTCAACGAAATACGAGTGTTAAGTTTCTTTGTAATACTTCTAGAATATTTGGTAGGAACTACCACAGTTTTAGATACCACGTATGTAATACCATTCCTGTATTAAGGTTATCTTATAAAGTTTATTTACCTTTCATACAATACTTTCATGAGTCTGGGTTAGCCTTATCCTTCTCCTAGTAGTGGTTCTTTAGGAGCTTCCATTGACCTTTCTGTCTCATGTTACGTTTCTTAAAGAGATTCAGAATGAAGCCATTTTCAGTTTCTTGATTAAGAGATGGCTTTTAGTCTATTACTTTTACTTACTTTTATCCTCTTTACTGATTGGCTCGTTAGCCGCTTGGGTGATCAGTCACATCTGTTACTTTTCCTTTTTTTTTATCCTCTTCACCAAATGATCGACTCGTTAGCCGCTTGGGCGATCGGTCACGTCTCTGTTACGCACTGTTGGCAAGTACTGGGCATGCACCGGCTCCTGAATGTACCTGAACCTGCTCCAGTGTTGGTCAAGTCTTGTCTTGAAAGAGCTCACACTCGGTGCTGCCACAACACTTTCTGGTAGATTGTTCCAAGAGTTCACAACTCGCACTCCGAAAAAGTTTGCCCTCACAGTTTTCTGGACTTGCGGCTTCTTCAATCCATTGAACATTTTCAACCAACTGACAGTCCCTAGCATATCTCGGGGACCATACAGGGTGACAGTACTCCAGATGGGGAAGCACTTCACTCTTGAAGATAGTTATGAGGGATGGGCCATCTAGATATCTGGCCTCTAGCCAGGTGGCTT